AATCATTGTTATATCAAATGGACTGAAATATATCTATAGTAAAGGGAATGCAACTACTAGGCTCTAGTGGAGTGTCCTAGTAGTTAACGAATGTTGGTTAACAAGGTTAATGAGTTTAGCCGGTTAATCTCGGATTGTTGGAGCCCATGATCTATAGGTCTATTAGGTCTCCCTTCTAGCTCATATCGAACTAAACCATAGAAAGTATGACGAGTGAGTTCAAACTGTTTGAATTCAAATCAGGGAATATGCGCTAAATATATACGATATATTTAATCTCATTTTTATTTTATTTACGAATTTAACAAAAAGAGAGAATCAAAAATTTGTTTTATTTGATTGGGATTGACATTTGATCTAACGTTAAATATTAATTAAATTGTTTAATTAATCATTTAATATTATTTTAATTTAAAATTAATTATTTAAATTAATTGTTGAATTTAAATGGAGAAAGTCAAAATGTTGACTTTACTTAAATGGAAAAATCCATGTTTGGGTTAGTGAAATTTTGAGTGTCAAAATTTGGTTTGACCAAACTTGCTTGATTTCCTATGTTTGAGGATGAGGTGCTCCCTCATATCTACATGGACCACTCCTACAACCTAGCTAGAATTAGTCACTGCATGATCAACATCCTTCCACAGGACTGATCCATCATCCAGAGTAACATCTTCCTAACTAGCGTCTAGCCTAGCTCAACGGTACCACACCGGAGTAGGAAGGGGAGGGTAACATCTCCCTAACCGGCGTCTCGCCTAGCTCAACAGTACCACACTAGAGTAGGAAGGGAAGCAGAGTATACTCAAATTCTATACCAGATACTGTCGACTAAGAGATCATCTCTCTACACCTCGAGGTCCTAATGTGGTTCTCTATATCTCAAGGGTAGTTAAAACTATTGAGTTAGGGCCCTGGCTTCCAGATTCACTAAATCAAGTCTCCCAAGTCCATCACAGTCTATAGGGTTAAAGGGTCTCTCCCTCTAAGCGTCGCTCATGACACTATAGACCGTAACATCGGGAGGGTCCCCTAACTAAACCCAACTCATTCCCTACAAGAGTTCACCTTAAGCATATCACAACACTACAGCTTATCAATTATATCATAAGTTCACACAATCATTCAAGAGGAGTTCATGTATGATTAATAATGCATACAATCGTACAAGCCTAACGGGCGGTAACATCCATCAACACCCGGAACGCCTCAATCCCTACAAGAGTTCACCCTAGGCATATCACAGCACTACAACTTATCAATCATATCATAAGTTCACACAATCATTCAAGAGGAGTTTATGTATGATTAACAACGCATACAATCATACAAGCTCAACGGGGCGGTAACATCCATCAACACCCGGAGTGCAGATACACAAATTCCCCCGTTCGCCAACATAGTATGAAGAGATAGAAGCAGTAGTAAGATAGTCCAGCAAGCATACAAACAACGAGTACAAAATCTCACTAGGCAACAAGTCCAACAGATATATATTTAATTCTGTAAGTATAGAGGATCATTAGTTCTAGCCACCTACGGGTAATTTTCTCTAGCATGCATGCAAAATAGGATTAGCACTAGAATCGGGATGAAAAACAGGTGAAAACAGGACACTCACGCGCCTTCACGCGCTTATAGGGGACTCCCTCACGCCTGCACACTTACCCATGTGCGGTCTCCACGCGCAGGGCAGAGGCGCGTTTCGAACCCCAGTAGACGTAGACTTACCCCTCGAATTTTCTGGGTGTGACACGCGTCGTACAGGGATTGGCGGAAGGTTTTTGGGTTGGACCGCGGGTCGTCGGACGCGTGTCAGCAGAGGCGTCAGACGCGTCTCTCCACCAATTGCTCGACGCGTGCCCTCCCTTTCCGGCAGCAGCGTGTCCGTCGCTGGTTTCCTGAGTTCATCCAATTTCCAGATTCCGGTTAAATTCTATATCAACCTATTTATTATAGATTTTGTTTTCCGACGCAATTTTTGGCCGCGTTTCCTCTAAAAACTTGCAAGACACCTCACTTAAATTATTGCAACTAGATTATTAAGGTCTAAATCATCTAAAACTCCCGGATCTATAGTGAAATCTTGAAACAAGAGAGGTCGCAGACTTACCTCATGTTCTTGCCCGTTTCTTGCCGGAAACAAACGATCCAACGCTCAGACCACTCCTTTTGATACTCTGATTAGCCCTAGTAGGAGACCTAATATTGAGAGTGCTTCAGTTCGGGTTTGGGCATTTCTCCCTCCTTCCTCTTCTTAAAAAACCCTAACTCTTCCTTTCTCTTTCTCTCTCTATTATTTATTATTATTTTCTTTTCTTTTCTTTTCCTTCTCTTTTCCTTTCTTCCAGGTCTCCCGACCTCCCTCAAGGTGGTATGTGTGGGGCAAAATTACTTTTTTACCCCAATTGACTTTGATCCAAAATTCGATTACATTATCATTTTTTTTAAATTTATTTTTCTAAGTTTCTTGATGCATCCCGAGCATTTCATTCTTCTGGACTAATATGAAAATCACACTCTAAGTCCTCCAATAAAATCTAGAAACTCCCAATGGATAAGAAGGTGCTAGTCACAAGAATAGAGCGAATTGTACCTATTGGGCTCGGGGTGTTACATAGACGATGATACATAAGGTGCCAAAGTGGACAAAGCGGACAATATCGACTAGCGACGAATTTGGATGTTTGAACATTCGACCACGCCTTTTAAATTTTGATTTTGTTTTGATTCTCTCCTTCTTATTAACATATCTATTTTTCTTCTCGTTTAACCTAAATAAAAAATTGATAAACATAGTTAAAAGAAAAATTTATAACTCTAGTAATTAAGGAGAAAATATAGAAAATTCAACTGTCTAGTTTGTGTTTAACCCAACTTTGTTTTTCCATCTCTACCAAAAATAGCAAATAAAAAAGAATTGATATTTACAACTATGCAACAAATATTATATCCAACCTCAAAACATTCATAGAAATTAATTTTTATAATAGATATTAACCTTAAATCACCTTCTCAAACCGCTTTAACAGCGGGTTCAAAACAAGTATCTATTATTTTTTTTTTGCTATATAATGAACCAAAATCCAAATGATTAAACATCAACAAAATTAAATTTGAGTATTTTAAAAAAATGAAGACTCTAACCGTCGACTATTGATTCAATTTCCGAAAACCTGACACCAGCAAGCAAGGGAAAGATAGTTGGCTAGGGTCTCTCTCGCTATTTGCAGTTCCGTTCTGACTTTCCTTTGGCAGAATGAAGTGACTTTGATTTCCTACTTTTCTTAGTCTTCCACTTCCTTTCCCTACTCTTTGTAATTCTGTTTGCCAATGCATGCTTTTCTTTCTAGGCAAAACCATGCTAAGATCGCTTATTCACCATATTCCATACCAATTTGCATCTTGCATGCCCTACCCTATATTAAGGGTATTAGAAAACACTAACCACATGAAATAAGGACTTTTTTAACAAAACGAATTGTGCCACATCTTCCTTCTTCAAAACTCATTGGAAACAGCGGACCAAAAACAACCTTTCTCCTGGTGTGAGCTTAAAAAAGAATGGAAGTAGGATGCGCGTTCGTTCCTGTCCCATTGGTCGAGCGTCTTCAACCCTCTCCCTTCCGGTCGAGCACTTCGTTCCTGACTTGTAGCTTGGGTTTATCTTATTGTTTGCTTTGGGATCAAGCATTAATATTAACACATGTTTTGCAGGATCAAACGGACAAGCGGTAGGGAAAATTGGCATTTACCAGATTGCAAATGACAAGTAAATATTTACAATTATCAAACAAACTCAGTTTTAAACTCTCATTGCAAGTCAAAAGACAACGATTTGAACGAACCCATTTTGGACAAGCGAGCCCAATTCCACTGGAGGTTCGAAACGAACTTTTGGCATATGACTTTGTATAGGTCCAATTTTAACAGTTTGAATGGACATGCTTCATTTGAGTTATTTTGGCCAAAGAACTCGCATTGGCTTTCTGAACGATGCAACCTTAAAAAACTTCCATTTGGGCAGCATTTGATGATGAATTTTACTTAAAAAATCTTCATTACAAGATGTTTGAATTGATACACCCTTAGAAAAAATGAAGTAAAATCTCCCTCGTTCATTTTGGTCCCACAAAACCTATGGGGAGTTGTGGGGTTTCTTTAAAGACTTTTAATGTGCATATTTAAGTCTAATAAAAGTGGGAGGAATATTTTGGGAATTTATAGTTCTTTGGATGTTGATAATTTGGTTGGGTTTTAAATTTCTACTTGTATCAACCCATGTGCATGCTTTGGAACTCTGGATTCCGCAGTTAATGGCCTTGTAAGGTTATTTACTTGTTGCTTCTAAGAGTGAAAACTATCTCCATAGACAAACATGAGTCCTTCCCGCATGTCTTTTCCTCACTCGCATGTTTGCTACGAAAATTCTCAAGAGGTCTTCGAACATAAAATTGCTCCAAGAAAGACATAATTAATCTTGAAGTTCTTACGGCTAACCAAACAAAAAGGAAAGTGCATCTAGTTGATATAGGTAGTAAGTTTCAATTCTTTTTTGGCATTTCTTAGTCATCTATGCGGTTAAGTATATTTAGTACTAAATTATAGTTTACCATATATATTATATTTGATATTTTACTCTTTTCATATTCTTGTAATTTATTTGATTACAAATAGATAACTTTCACACCATTTAAGTGTGGTGGATTAAGCAAACATTCTCATGTTATCAGATCCCTTTCGATTTAATAACCCATATCCTTTGTTTTCAATGACTTCTGATTCCTCTATTGATCTTCCCCACCACCACTACTAGCTTTGTTGCCACAGGGGCAGTCTCCGTGGCTGCCATAGGCGGAGTCGATTGATTACTTTTTAACTCCAACCTTTTGACCTCCAAATCACCCTTTGCCATACTCTATACATATAACCTCACCATCTCCAACACAATCGGTTTCCCCTTAGCCAACATAGCCTCTCTCGTTTTCTACCGAATCAACCCTTCATCCTTCACAGAAACCCTAATCTCAAGATTCTCATTAGCGTTCTCTTTGGAAATATACGAAATCTCGATAAGCCAATCAACCTTCTACAGAGATTTACCTTTGGAATCTGGGAGCCGCACTGGCCTCTTCGCCAACCAAGTGTCGCCACCCTTCTCGCCAAAATTGGCTCATTCGTCCACTTTCGTGACTCTTCCGGCTTCAACATTGTCTTTGTCCCTTGCTCTAGGTTCCCCCCTTCTACTTCTTGGGTTATACATATTCTCGTCAGAGCCAAGGCAACTTCGTCGCTGAGTGACGATCCCTCTTCATTTATTAGACATATTCTCGTGGAAGCCAAGATAGCATTGTTGCTGAGCGACGATCCCTCTACAATTTGCGAAGGCCAAGAAAGTGTTTCTCTATGCCTCCTCCGAATCAGGTTGTTTACATTTTCACGAAAAGTGTTTCTCGATCTCTCTTTGAATTTTAAGATCCAAGCTTCACGTTCCTTCAAATTTGACGCTAAGCTTGCCGATGGGGTGTTAAGGATATTTAGTACTAAATTATAGTTTATCATATATATCATACTCGATATTTTATTATCAATATTTTCCTTCTTATCATAGGTATCTTTCCATATCCTTGTAATTTATTTGATTATAAATATATAACTTTCACACCATTTAGGAGTGGTGGAATAGGCCAACATTCTCATATACTCTGGATCACTTTATCGGATATAATCTTGGTTCATTCATGTACTCTCTTTTACTCAGGTATGACTCTACTCAAAACCCTTTCAAGATTAAGGAATATTTCAAGTTTTAACATTGAAAGGGTAACAAATTAGAACAAAAAAAAATGTATAATAATTGAAAATGGGAAGGTTAAAATCATAAAATGGATATATGCAAAGAACTCATGTCAATTTTCCTAAAAAAAAATGATGGTCAATTCTAATATGAAACCAGCAAACTGGCCCAATTTTTTTAGTAAAAAATATCATTAAAGATTATTTGTTATGCTTGTAAAGATAGAAAAAAACATGTACAAGGAAAATGATCTTTACACGACTATGAAATGAAAGAAACTATGTGGAAACAGGAGGAAGAGATCAAGAAGTACCCTAGTAATTCCAATATTAAGACACTTTCGTGGGACGAAAGTTTCTTCTTGACATGTATGATGTATGAACAAAAAATTAAAAAATTAAAAAATTAAAAAAACAATAACAGAAGGGAAACTTTGTGCCACATTGCTAAAGCTTAGAAGTGTCGGGTTGGCCTCCACTATAAAACGGAGGTCCCCCACTTCATTTTATCATCCTCAACCAACTCTGAGTACACTTTCTGATGGCTCAAGGCCAAAAATTTTAGTTGATCCATTTTGGTTTGATTCGCTCGGACTCTTTCCTCCTAATTTCAATTTTTAGAAAGCGTTCAAAGTTAGCAGGGCTAGTTAAATATTTTTAATCGAGTTTAAATTATTTATGCATGATTTGACCTAGTTTAAATTGAGTAAGTTTCTATGCAGTATTAGGCTTAGTTTAAATTATTAGGAGTAATTTTCTATGCATAATAGGGCTTAGTTAAAATTATTGGGAGTAAGTTTTTATGCATAATTAGACTTAGTTTAAATTATTAGAAGTAAGTTTTTACACCTAGGCTTAAGTTAAATTTTTTTAATCCAATTTAAATTATTTATGCATAATTAGGCATAGTCAGTTTAAATCATTAGGAGTAAGTTTTTATGCATAATAAGATTTAGCTAGTTTATGCATTATGGAAACGTTATGTTGAAATCATGAAAATATTACGTTCTGTCTTGTGAATTGTATGTATAGAATGATATGAATGACATGAAGAACGATAAATAGCATGAAATATAACCTCGGTATAAGCATGAATGACTGATATGATATGAATAAAACGAAAGCAGGGGTTATATTTAATAATGTTGAAAATGGAAAAATATTGGAACCTCATGCATTAATGTGTGCTCATGCATTCGGGGATACCCGTATTCCTTCATGATTGTATGGGCGCGTACACCATTAGACAGGAGAACTATCATTACGTTTTACATAATATAGTTGTAACGACTACTACTTCTAATGGGTATCTGGCATAGAGAGCTACCAGAGCATGCTCGCCTGACAAAGAAAGGGGTCAAGGGTGTGCAAACCGACTGGTGGGTCCATACTCGCACATATGAGTCATGTGTAGAGTATATGATACACATCGAAGCTGCCCATTAAGATAGTATTATAGGAAAATAAACTGTTATGATAGATGCCGTCATTGCATTCACAAGTTCTTGCATCAGAACCCAAATAGGGGGTCGCTTACTGAGTATTCTTAAAACACTCAACCCTTGTGCTACTACATTTTTCACATAAAGGCAAGACGCCCCTTGAATTTAAATATTTTCTTATCTTCTGAACATTCCATTGTCTTTACTTTGTGATGTCACCGTCAACTGTACATGGATGCCTTGACTTTATCTGTAAAATAATCTAGCACACGGCCTGAGTATTTCGAAGAATATGTAGTAAGTGTTCCATCTATAGGGGTCGTGAAGAAATGCAAACACATGTAACAATCCTTCGGACTAACTTGGATGAATAGTACTTATTTACACACGACCCACACTTGCAATTGTTAATCCCTAGGCGGTTCGCACCCCTTGGACCCATTATCGTCGAGCTAGTTGTTTGTAGCAACATCTAAAGGTCAGTGAACCCCTGGGTGTTATACTCGACATCATCACCGTCATTATCGTAACATGCGGGTTTTTACTCGTCATCATAAAAGGGGAAGAATCTCAATGCTTATGTACATACAGAAATGCATGAAGTCCCTCTATTTCTCGTCCTTAAAACGCCTTTTTAACACAACCTTAGTTCCATCTCTATATTACTATTAGTAATACATGCGCATTAAACATTCATCTTTAACATCGTTGCTCATATTTTGTAGGGTTGAGTCCTAGGTCGAATTCTCGACATCATGCAAAATGGCATTCATAACATACATCTTACTTAACATAGAAAACATCATCATATTATGGTAACAATATCATGCATCATAATCAACAGATATCACCATCATAATGCCAACAAATACATCATAATCATCATAGCATGTCATCAAACATCATCAAACATCATCGTATATCTCATACATGTCATCATACATCATATCTCATATAACATACATCATACAGCAAACAAGTCTCTAGTCTATTCTATAGTAAGGCCATTTACTTTATTGGCCTTAGCTGGCGTTCTCCCTAAATTATTATCGTTGGCTCTAGTTCCTCAAAAGCTGCTCCAAAGTATTACCGGAAATCGTTTCCTATTAGATCGTTTGTCACCTTTCGTTAGTATTTCACAATTAATAATATTTCTAATTGACATTTGTGAAATATGACATTAAAACGACAACGATTAGCTTACTTGAGGTTAAAAACAGGTTTGGGAGGGTCAAAACGGTAGAAATTAGGTTGAAATTTGAGTACCTGAGCCGAATAAGTCAAAGGGGTCGCGAACACCCAAGTCGAGTTGTCTAAGCTGACAAAGTCGAAGGAGTCGTTTGCAGATGACTTCGATCATGGCGCAATACGAGGGCAACACGTGTGCAGGTGACTTTGATCGAGGTGCAGGTCGAGGCATCAGTCACGAATCGTAGGCTGGGCTGCGATCACGGGTCGAGGCTTGAACAAATACTTTAGGCTCGTCTGGTCCATATATACTTGTATGCTTTCTTGATAAACATAGTGTGCCACATCTTATGGGCGAACACCACGGTTGCTAGCTCCAAGAAGTTTCACAAGTTGTCTGGCAATGGAAGGACTGAAGCTGATATCAACATGTCCTTGAGTTCCATGAAGCTCTTTTCGCATGTCGATGTCCAAGTGAATATCTTACCCTTCTTGATGAGTTGGCTTAAAGGTGGTAATATTTTGGAGAAGTTTTTTATAAATCTTCTGTAATAACCTATCAACCTTATGAAACTTTGGACTTCTATTTATAAATCTTATGTAATAACCTGCCAACCTTATGAAACTTCGGACTTCTATGATCGTGTTCAGTTAAGGAATTTTCATTACTGCTTCCACTCTAGTCGTGTCTACGGAAATTCCTTCTTTTGTTATGACATGCACAAGGATGGCCACCTCTAAAATCCAAAACTTGCCATCAGAAAACTTGGCGTATAACGGCTGGTTTTGCAATCTTGTCAATACCATTAGAATAGATAAGGATATCAACTATGAATATAATTACAAATGTGTTAAGAAAGTTCTTGAATATGGCGTTAGTTAGTCTAGAGGACAACCGTGAATTTGTAGTGATCATACCTTATTCTGAAGGCAATTTTAGGTATGTCTTTCTCTTTGATTCTTAGTTGGTGATATACTGACCTTCATCTATCTTGGAGAATATTGAAGCCCCTTAGAGTTGATCGAAAAGGTCGTCAATCCTTGGGAGTGGGTATTTGTACTTTATCATAACCTCATTGAGCTCCTGATAGTCTATAGACAACCTTGAGGACCCATCTTTCTTTTTGACAAAGAGTACTGAGCTCCCACGGTGAGATACTTTGTCTTATGAACCGACACTCATCAATTGTATGACCACTTCTATTACAAGATTTTTCTTTGGTCCTAACTTGCTTTAGGTTCCAAGTTTTCTCTAATCAACTTGAACTCTTAAACATACCTAGGGCCATTTTGGTCATATAGACCTTGAATTTAAATAAGTAGTCCTAGGGCCATTTTGGTCATTTTACCCCTAATTCTTGGTTTTGCTGCTTAACGTGTTCCAATGGGTTTCAAACTTCACCACATCTTTAGACATCACAAAATAAGGTCTACCACATAATTTAATAGCATTTGGAGGTTCTCTAGGTCATGAACCATAGGTAGATTTCCTTAGGCGCAATATGGTCATTTTGCACCATTTCTTGGTTTACCTACCTATCCTTGTCCAATGACCATCAAATTTCATATATAATCTCTACATGCTATAATATGGTCAG